ATGTGCAACCGGAAGTAAAGAGCTGCATAAGTCTATAAAAACTTGCAGTAAGGAGATGTTGCAGCCGTTGTACGAAATGCTAGTAGTAGTAGTAATAATAGTAGTAGAGGATTTTGGCCGTTGCAAGTGCAATCCGATGATGGCCATTAAAAGTGCAGATCAAAAAAGGCGGAAGTCAAGTAAGAAACATTAGAAGACAAGGGTCTATTGTAGCCGGGAGAATAAAGGCCAGGAATGCTGGAAGTAAAAGTGGACAGGAAAGTTTCCAAATAACGTCCAGTTTGCAGAACAAAAATAAATGGCCTATAACTTAAGACAGAACCCATTCAAGCACCCTGATCACAAGGACCAGGTGACTGCGTTTCCTCTCCTCCTCGATCGGCGAAAAGGTGTATAATAAAAAGGGTGTATAATAACATCAGTTGGGCTGGCTAAGTACTTGATATTTAATAGAAATAAATCCTGAGTTGCTACGAAGTATAAAAAGTATTATAAAATGTTCACGAAGGGTATTTAGATTATGTTAATAATAATCAAGCAAGTAAAAGAGAAAATGTGATTGATTATATAATCTAAATAGACTTGTTATATTAGATAGAAGAGTAGAGTGACGCAACGAAGAAAAAGACCAAGGACTTGAAGAAATATTGCGTCCGCCATGATCACGTGAACGGAGTAGCGAAGGGTTACGATAATACATACATATATATATATATATATATATATATATATATATATATAAAAACTTTACACGTATTGGGGCGGGTTCCTCACACCAAAACAAGGACGAAATTCCATATAGACATATGTCCGCAAATTGTTCTTTTGGAGTTATTAAATTTAAAGTTTAGGGTAGACGCTGTTAGATGTACAATCCAAGATACAATCCAAAAATACTTTTACAAACATTGGGGCGTGGGGGGGGGTCCTGACAGCAAAACAAGGTAAAATTGTTTTAAATTAGGCGTTGAAGACAGACTAACTACAAAATTTACACGACTGACAAATGTAACCTCATCTATATGACAACTCGACGCCATCTACCGCAAAATTTCTTTAAGCTTAGCTAAAAAAAATTGAAGGATTTGCAGACATGTGTTTATATGGACTTTTGTTGTTATTTTGGTGTGAAGAACTCTACCCTAAAGTTTGTAAAAGTATTTTTGATACATGCTGCAGAAATGCTGAAGGGAACAATTTCTTAATTCTTCACGGGTGTGCATGACGGTAGATACTGTTTAAAAGCGGCGTCTACTCAAACACGGCTAACCAATAAAAATAGACTTTGAAGTAATAAAAAAATGTATGAATTAAAAATAAATTTTATATGCATATAGATGGATATTGAAGTCAACACGTAGAGAAGACAGTCTGTTTCATGCTTAAACGCAATCGTCAGGCCATGATACATACGCTCTATTTCTGATATTAATCACATTAAACCATTAGAATGTTTTCAAATAAATGTTATTAAACAATGTCGACAATGTCTGCTTAAATTTTTTATTCAGTTTTTCTAACTTCCGACTAAATTATTTTACGCCAGAAATCTCTTTCCAAAATTTATTTATTGCATTAATCCATTCAACTTTTGAAGAGCGGATACAATAAATGAACGTTGGAAAGTTAATTCTGAAATAAAACAAATTGGAAGTTAGAAAAAATAAATAAAAATTGTTGGACAGACTATTGCTTAATAAAGTTTGTTTGAAAAAATAAAATGAAGTAAAATAAAATGTGTGTGTGCGCGCGTTAAACGTCTCCTCTCGCTTACAATGTACATATACACGCGAATATATATATATATTATATATATATAAATTTTATGTGTGTGTAAGCAGAAGAAGGCTAAGAGAAAAAAGCCCCCCCCCAAAAAAAAATGGTGTTGTAATGAAAAACGGTTTCATATAAAAATACAAGATAACGCTAAAAAGCTTTCGTCCCGACCGACTTTCCCAAAACAGAATTTCAATGACTTAACCACAGTTTATATCTTCAGGCTACTTAATATGGCCGTCACAGATATCGGTATTGATTTCGCAATATTTTTTTATGCTTTTGTTTATTTTCCTTATTAACACAAGCAAGAATTTCTAAAATGGACGGCAATGTCAGAGACGAATATTCTGATATAATCAGTGGGGAGATATACCAAAGAGACAGGATTGTATTATTAAATAATATTTAATCCAATTTGGGTTAACCGGTAAACGTGTAAATCCAGTATACTGATTAAAAGATTAATAGAGCGTCTATTCAAATATAGGTATCCACTGAAATAACAAAATATGTCGGATTAATAAATTAAAAAAAAAAAACATAAAAAAAACATTATTTCTTTAGAAATTGCTTTGTTTACATTTCGTATACGCAACTGAGCAGTTATGATCTGCGAAAATCGGAATAAGAAATGTGTGCTTAAAAAGGCAGGTAAAACACCACTTGATCACAACACTCTCCGTAGCTGAGTAGGTTAAAGTACGTCGGATCTAACGACGGTTTCTCCTGCAAAGGAGAACGCATATATATATATATATATATATATATATATATATGTGTGTGTGTGTTTCACACACAGACAGATAAACAGACACTGACAGAACGACAAAGATAGATTTAAAGATATTTAAAGAGAGAATTACGTCAGATTTTGGAAAAATGTCAGTCGTTTCTTCTGTAACATTAGTGAACACATACACTATATATGAGAGAGACTACAGATTAAAAGTTTGAATCTACCGCCAGAATTATCATGATATGAACTTGACAGACGAGTGAAAAAAAACAAAAAACAAAAAAAAAAAACATGAAAAAGAACTCCTAGAGTTATTGAAAAAGAACTCCTAGAGTTATTGAAAAAGAATTCAATCAATTATCAAATTCATACTTTGAAAAACGTTTAGAACGAAAGCAAAAGATGTGTGCTGCAGTAGTCAAAGCTTATATATGTAAAAAAGAAAAAAAAAAAGAGAGTGAGACAAAGATTCAGATTGAGAGTGTATGTAATATCTGCAGAACGGTTGTCCTGCGTCGTTCCATATTTGTTAGTCATCGTGAATATCCTTCCCAAGAGACCTGCAGGGTACTTACGTCAGTTTGATAATAAAACTTGCAGGTCTAACGCCGGGTTGAAGCGGCGCATGGGAGTGCAAGAGGAGAAAGTCATGTCTAAGAATCTCCAAAAGTTTTTCGGATGTCACAGATGTAAAAATATATGCAGGAACGAAGCTTGTTTGCAAAATCATCTGCAGGCCGAAGGTCGCCCAGTTCAAATGGCGAAGAGAGGGCTTTCTCCTGGAAAGAAGTGGCAATTATCATATACACGTGATGGAGTGTTCAATTGTTTTCTTAATGAGCCGTGCCTTCAAATATTACCAAATGTTGAAACACGTTCTTGGGGTAAGGCTTTCTTGTCGAGGAGAGGGTTTTCAAGCACTTTTCGCTAACAACTATTATTATTATTATTATTATTATTAAGTGAATATATAAATAGAGAAAATTTAAATGAATAAATACAAAGAAAATCATAAATAAATAAGAAAATTATTATAAAGAGAAAATTATTATTATTATTATAAAAAATTATTATTATAAAGATATAATAATAATAATAATAATAATAAAAAAAAAAAAAAAAAAAAACATCTAAGTATCTTGAATCGGAAAAATCAAGGTAGGTTGTAAAATGAACAGGAATAAACCAAGAGTAAGATTGTGAAAGAGATCATAAGAATAGAAAATGAAAAACTTCAATCAATGGATGCATCTACTTATAGCATATGACATTAAAAGACGGCCATGAAAATGAAAGGAAACGATGTCTGGCCATTAGCTAGAAAGCATTTAATGGAGACACAATGAAAAAGTATTTTGCCAGTAGATTTACAGTATAAAGTGCACAATGAATTTAGAAAAGCTACTGGTCCGAATCATGGAAATTAACAAAGTCGCTCGGTAATAAATTTAGAAATGCACAAAGATCAATGGAAATTGCAATGCTTGGGATTATTCTCCCAGACACAAAAATGTCAACCTGGATCGGAAAAACAGACCAAAATAAGAGACATGATGGTGATTAAGCGATAGAAACGGTGGTATTTGGAACAAATAACAAAAAGAAGTGTGTGTAAGGGTGGGGTAACACATAGAACAAAAGCTTGGTAGACTGATACTCAGCATAAATAGATTTAATGGAAATATGGCAGTGATCACAGTCGTCATGGAAGGAATTTTACAAGGTCTTTTATTCAGTAGAGCCACACAATGATTAATAGATGTTTCTTAAATGCAGTTCAGGATATCGACGATCAAGGATCTCCATTTTGTTTATTATCTGTGAACTGCAGTGAAATAATTCTCTTAATTGGCTGTCACCCAAAGCTATTGAACCCAGTCCGACCTTCTATTTAATCCGTAGCTGGCGAAAAAAGAAAGAAAGATGGATTTATGCCTTTTCCAAGTGCATTTGTGCGAAAGTAAACGCAAACGAATACGCTGGATTTTGAAGTACACTTTCAGTGTTGGTGTCGGTAAGTATTACGTTGCGCGGACATTCAGTTGATATATCGGTGAGGTAAAAACAACAATTGTAGATTATGAGGGTATTAGTACAATTTATTAGTAGGATTTGTTCGCTAGTCATAATTTAACGGCAATCTGGTACTAGGAAGATATTTAATAGTTTTCCCATTCACCAGTATCATTTGATATACCAACACTGAATAAATGGAAATTAAAGACGAGATAGACACGTACACAATTAAAACATTTAATAAATACGAAGAAATGTTACAAATCCAAAAGCAGATGAATGTATAGTTTATACACGTTGATCCAAGAACGAGCATAGGAAAAAAAAATCCACCCCCACAAAAAAAAAAAAAAAAAAAAAATGAAGGTACATAAAAGATAAAGACACAAAATTCCTTACTTTTTCTAGTTCCCTAGATGAAGTGAAATAAGGTGCCTCGCTGAATTTGGAGACAAAAATCTCGTTCCACTCAGCCGAATATAGTAAACATAATGTCCGTTTTTTTCCCATATCCCACATCCGAATGCCGTAAACATTCGGTCCGTTTTTTCCCCACATCCCTCAGCCGAATGTCGTAAACATTCGGTCCGTTTTTCCCCACATCCCTCAGCCGAATGCCGTAAACATTCGGTCCGTTTTTTCCCCCACATCTCTCATCCGAATGCCGTAAAAATTCGGTCCGTTTTCCCCCACACCCCTCAGCCGAATGCCGTAAACATTCGGTCCGTTTTTTCCCCATCCGAATCTCAGCCGAATGCCGTAAACATTCGGTCCGTTCACCCAATATCCCACAGCCGAATGTGGTAAACATTCGGTCCGTTTTCCTCATATGTGGACTTAAGGAAAGAGATATATTAACGGTTCTATGAATGAGAGCAAAAAAAGAAGTTAAGATTGTAGTGGTCGATTGATTTGTTTTATATTTTTACGGTTTATCAACAGAAAATATTATTAGACAAGAATTTTTGGAGATAATGATCTATGATGCAAGTCTTAATAATTAGCCATACGTGGGGGACGAGAAGAGGTGAACTCATACCTTTCCCAAGGGTATTTATCCATAAGTAAATATGAATTCCAATTTCGAGCCTTTATCCATAAAACCACCCACACATCCAAACTTACAACACCATATATTGCCAAGCAATTACCCAACTAGGTACTGACCAGATTCGACGTTGCTTAATTTCAGTGACTACGAGAACCGGAGTTTCAATCTAATATGGCCGATGCCCATAAACAGCGGCCCTTGTGAAGAAGGCTGTCCGAATAGAACGCTTTTCTTACCCGGGAAATACAAAGAGAATGTGGACAGTTTGCTCCCCACTCCCCACTCTATGTATGTGGCGTGATGGGTTTTAGCTGTAAAGCTGGTGGAATTTCGGAATGTAGCTATTCAGGAGATTTTCCATGGAAATATCGATAGGCCTGTGACGTTGCGTCTGAGGAAGATGAGAAAGGCCTTGTAAACGCCTCTGAAATATAAACAAGGCTGGAAAGGTTTGAAAAGATTTTTAACGTCGTGACAACTATGATAGGTGATTTTACTCCAACCAGGTGAATACTTATACACATATTTCTCTTTAATCCCAATAGTTGGAGGAGGGGGGTTAGTTTGTCGAGACTGGAAAAAAAAAAACGGATTAGGCAGCTCCAGTCCAGATATGACAGTAGTACTCCATTTCTGATCTAATCTCGCTCTAGTAAAGAAAGCATGGAAGATGGAGTCAGAACAGTATAAAGGGTCGATCATTTTCCCAGTGTCTTTAGCGATGAATCTTATATTTGAGTTCAACTTGTGGTCTCGGCTGAACTATTTTCAACAGATGATCAAATCAAGGATAATCTTTGAGAGTATAATCATAAAATTGAGGTCATAATACAAAGTCAGTCCGATGACGATGAAAAGACCGACCACGCACCAACTTATTAGGCTGTTAAAATTAGGGATGTTATAAAATTCGCTTTTTGAAAGATCCCTACAGTGGTAAGCTAATTGCACCTGAGAATGAGGATAAAACGAAACAATGATGTCCCCATCCCAACAAACAAAAGAATTACTGAAAACCTTTAGATGAAACATTGTAGTACCCTCAATTTAGTACAGATACTTGGTTAATTAATGATTTCTCCTAAGTAGGTTTCATTAGTGCTGACAGATTCCGTGAAAGAACAGAGTTGTGGTTTCTGCGCGTAATGGAATCTCTCAGCAGACGACAGTTATGAAGAAGAGAAAGCGACTACTCTCACGTGACAGCCAAAAGGCTTCATTCAAAGATAAAACATCACGATTGAGAAAGGAGTCTTTATAGAGCACTAGCTTTCGTATCTTGGGATTTTTGTGCTCATTTTGATATGCATTGTATGTTTCTATTAAATCCGTTTTAATTAAGAGCCGGCATTACCTTCCGAGCGCTCAATACCAGGCCCAAGAGACACTCGATGTAGAGTATTACTGAATGATGTGTGTGATATGAAAATAAGAGAAAGAAGTAGGAAGTGAAGTGAGGATATGGCGGATAGATAAATATTGACCCTAGAATTGAAATTATGATTTTAGCGTTCTGGGAAGCACCCCCGCTGGAGTTTGTTCCACAAAGTAGTGGCTCTTGGAAGAAATTCGATTATTTACACATAGAATAGAAGCAAAATAATAATAAAAAAACAGTTTTACAAGAAATATCTACTCTAAGGCACGACTGCTACAAACCTAAACGAATGTACATAATGACTAATCCAAACTCAGTTGTCCTGGGTATGATGATAAACTACATCCGCGTCCTGGGGAAGACGATAAACTACGTCCAACTGCAAGGAGGTTTTGAGGAGCTTGGAACTACTTAATTGCTGGTGTTCCCAGGTCCGCCCAGACCCGGGGTGGTAGCACCTGTTAGGGTTCCAGCTATGGGCAAATAGTTAACACCCAAACTTGTGTAAAAATAGTTTTTAATACAATAAATACTTTGTAATAAAAAAATTATTACCAGCAGTAATTTTGAAGGAAAAATTATCAGCAATACTTAAAAAAAACACCAGCAATACTTAAAAAAAACACCAGCAATACTTAAAAAAACACCAGCAATACTTAAAAAAAACACCAGCAATACAGTTATACATACTTTAAAAAAAATATGACCGGCTTTAGATTTCTTCAAGGAAAAATATTCCCAGAAATAGATTTTTCAAGAAAAAAATTACCAGCAATAAAAATTTTGTCGGCATTAAATAACCCACTGAGGTTGATATGCCGTAAAAAAAACAAAAAACAAAAAAAAAAAAAAAACACCCTAACCCAGTGGTACGCAAGCTATTTTTCTCGTTGTAGCAACAATATTCAAGGCATGAACTAATAATCTACTATCTATATTTCTCATGTTGTCTGTCTGTGTGTCTGTCGTGGGCGTTGTTACCTCGCCCAGACCGCATTTCTCACCCAATTTCTATGCGATTCTCACCACAAGTTTGTAAATGGCTGCCTTAAGGACATGACGCAGCCCGATTTTTCAGTTCGGACTCAGGTTCCAAAAAAATCGATAATCGAAAAAATCTGCTTACAGAAGCAATTATTGCATTTCAACCAAATTTGACACCCTCTTAGAGTCTACCTTTAGAATTGTTTCCAGAAGTTTCATGACCACGGACCCCTAAACAGCGCGGAAAATCGATAAAACCCAAAAGCCGATACGCCCAGATTGCACCTGAACCGCATGTCGGTTTTTAACGAAAACCGATCGGATTTATGAGGAGGCCATTGGGAGTCACCATGTGAAGTTTCAACTCTGAGCGCTCCTCAAACAGAGTGCAAATGGACAATCGGTCAACCCTTAAAAATGTTTTTCCGGTTGGGTATTTCCTAAATGCAGATTAATTTAAGGTCACGCTATGCGCGGGAAGAAACAGGTTAGTGCGTGCAGTGCTGTATGAGTCGTACGATTTTTGAATCAAGCACGGGCAACGCCGGGCCATGCTTCTAGTAGACTTATAAATTTCTAAGATAGACTCTGGAGAGACAATTTGTCTAGTACGACACAGTGAACACACTTTTATAACAGTAGACTTAGCAATTCTTTCAATATAATCTTTCCACTTCATGTCAGCGGAAAATGTTAGACCGAGAAGGCGGAACGAGTCGCTCTCCTGGAGGTTAGCATCAGCTAGACTGATAGAAGTCTAAAAGGGACTCTCAGATGATTGATAGAGATGTAATCAACAAATGAACAGACTTAATATCTTTTGTGCTCAGGAATATCTAATTAGTAGTCGTCTTTTGACTGACACAGACGCCGGATTCCTACGAGTTAGGAAAGAATTTAGATTAATCTGTGAAGAAAGGTTGTAAGAATCGAAATAAATTTCACAGAAAGCTTGAAAGAGAAGAATCCTTAGAATATCTTGCTAAGACTTTCATTATTTTGCTCCAACACAAGTTGATTCGCACAAAAAAAAGAAAGAAAAAAAGAAAAAGGTGACGATTTTAGATTTAATATACTTTAACAACGATTTTTCCTCGCTGGTGAAGGAGAGTAAATGTTGTATCATCCGAGTCGATTATAGAGATTCGTTATTTGTTTCGTTATATTTTTCTGGCAGATTTATCAACACAGTCGTACAGGTGTTGTTTGGAATCATCTTCGCAATTGATATGAAGAATTTGCTGACTTGGAGAAAACAAAAACATAAGTTTAAATTGAATGTAAGAATACGAATCTATTTTTACTTTCCAATATAGGGAGCCGCCATAAAAACAAACCAAAAAAAAAAAAAAAACACCGTTTTCATAAATGGTTATTTTGAAAGCCTAGTTCGAATTGCGCAACCCAAAAAAACATTCTATGTAATTCAGAGGCTCAATAGTCTAATATTTAAAGGTTATTATCGTTCTTTTTATTTCTAAGATTTGAACGTAGACCTTAATTATTTTTGTGGAAGAATAAAAAAAAATGCTGCCATTTATCGACATTTGAAGAAAGTATTTTCCTCAATCCAAAAAAAATTATTGTGCAGTCAAACACACTCACCTATGAACAGACACACACACATATAAACCTATGTAGCATATTTAAAAGTAGGTATCCATAATTACTAAAACAAAATACAGACATAAACACACGCAAGAAACAGCCTAAGTAAACTTCTACAACCTTCCGGACAGACTTACAAATGAGCAAACTCGTACAAATAATAGGTAACCTATATAGACGAACAATAATGATACAATTACCCTTAAAAAGGTGTGGCCGGGAAAAACATTTTTCAGGGAAATAAGTACAATTCACACACGCGCACATCGAGAGAAATAACAAAGTATTTGACTACCATATAACGTTTCTTTTGGGTGAGTATGAGAAAAACAAAATATTCTGGTATAATTATATTCAAAACAATTTCCAATATACAGAAATATTTTTTCATTCCATTGACAGAGTAGACGACACTGTTTTATTTGATACATTTTTACGCTAATAAGTGAGTGCACTCTGCCTACGGAAGTAAAATTCCTCAATAGAAATATTTCTTTTGTCTTCACTCTTGACGACGGCCATTTTAAATAGTACTTAATATTAAGCAAGACCATTTTGTGGGTTGTAATCTTATAATCCAGTCTACAGGAATAGACAAACAATAAGTATGTTTCAAGAAGCGTATTAAGAACAGACTTTGAGTTACTGTATTTATGAAGAGTAGTTAGAATAACGGTGTCAAAATCAAACATTTAATTATCTGGAAAGTGTTTTGACAGAAGATGGGAAAATCTGAACACGCATTGTATCAGCAAAAGATGCCTTCCAAAAGCTAAGCAAAGTACTATGAAAAAGGAAAATTTTGTTAGAAACTAAGGGAAATACCGCGTAACTATTATATA